GTTCATCAGGAATAAGGAAAGGTGCATGGACCAGAGATGAAGACATACTTCTAAGGGATTGCGTTGAGAAATATGGTGAAGGAAGATGGCATCAAGTTTCTTCCAAAGCAGGTATCTAAATGACTTCGTTCATGCTTGTAAATCAATAGATTTTCTCATGTTTATATGCCTATATCGAGTATAGTCTCTCGTGTTTGGTTACAGCGACAAAGAATATTCAACTAGCTGGACACTTCGAAAAACTGTGCACTGATTCTTAATTTTCATTTGCAGGCTTGAATAGATGCAGGAAAAGCTGCAGGTTGAGGTGTTTGAATTATCTCAAGCCAGGTATCAAGAGAGGACGGTATTCTGAGGACGAAGAAGACTTAATTATCAAGCTACACAGGTTGCTTGGCAATAGGCAAGTGAAAATGTGTAAATATATTATATATTACATGCACTGCAAACCTTGCATGGAAGTATCAATACTCGATCTGAGATTGTTGAAGAAAAAGATGTAAAAAACAATGGATGAAGAAGTGGTAGACTATAGCTAGTGATCTAATAAAAATCACCAATGGCAGCTAATAGCAAAACTAAAAGAATTCTTGTAAGAGGGAGAGGGAGAAACGAGAAAGTTTGAAGGCTTGAATTGATCGAAGCTTACTTTTATTTATGAAATTTGATGAAATATTATTGGAAGGAGCCAACAAGAAAGTGGCTCTTAGAAATTACACAGTTACAAAGCTCAAATCCAAGCCAGAAGGTCATGCTGTCTGTGCAGACCTTAATTTTCCAGCCCTTCTGCAATAGAGTTCCTTTCTCTATTGACATGCTGCAAACCAGAGTCTAAATTACTGATCAAAATTGTAATCCTGCTAAACAAGCCTTCAAATCTCCATGGTCGGTCCTGACCATAGTCTTCCATCTATTAAGTAGCGTTGACCGAATCACTCCCAAGTAGATCGAAGCCATATAGCTTAGGGGAGAGTTCAAAATCACTTCACTTGGAAGCTAAAGTATTTTGGATTATAAAGAGGAATTTTTTTTTATGATAAGAAAACCAATTGTATCGAATTGAAGCCAATTAGATTATGAAAGGAAATTTCTTGATTCAGTAATAATTACCTCAATTAATTTCACATATGTTGCGCGATATATGTACATATATATAAACTACATTATGTTTTGTTACACAGGTGGTCATTGATTGCTGGTAGACTTCCAGGAAGAACAGCAAATGATTTAAAGAATTATTGGAGCACAAGCCTGCGTAAGAAGGTGGTTTCTGGCACCAGAGAAGCTCAAACAACACCAGAACCAAAAGCAATAACAAAAGCCAACATAATAAAGCCTCGACCTCATAAATTCAAAAGTTTATGCTGGTTAGGAGGAAAAGGTATTCCATTTTTCAATGGTGGTTTTCAATATGGGTACGATCTTTGTAAGCCATGTTCTACATCAGCACTGTCCCCTTCCGATATTTTTGAAGTTGAAAGCATGTGGTGGGAAAGCTTATTAGATGACAAAGAAATTAATGCACCGAGCAACACCGGATGTCTACGTTCGGGGTCAGAGTCTGACCAAGAGCCCATCAAAAGTCTTCTTGCAGAGGACAGCGCTCCAGAAGGGATGAGAATTCGAGACGTGTTCTGTGAACAAGGACAACATTGTTGGAGTGGCAATCCTTTTGATGCAACAGACCTTTGGAATTTAGTCAATACTTGAAATACTTTAGTTTGTATTGTTGTAATATTTGGTGCCAAACTAATGAAGTGCAAACCTAAAAGGGTGGGGTGTTTACTGTTTGACCGACAATATTCACACAAAAAATAAAAAAATGAAATAAAATCAAGGATATATTGTTTATTTTTTATAATTCATTTTAATCCTCAAAATTTTATATATTAATTTAATTCTAATTCAATGCCAATTGCATCTAAATTCTTAGTTAAAGGTGAAATAGAAAGTAAGGAGAGCGAAATGAAAAAAATCTCAAATATAGAATGCACGGCAGAAATTATATAAAAAATTTACTTAGATTCTCAATCTTGAAAAAAATACAATGTATACAATTTAGGTCTTCTTAATTTTTTTAAAAAAAAATTGATGTGCAAGCTCATTTGCATTGTATACATAGTTAGTTAGAGAGAAAAAAGGAAGGGTTGTTGAATTTCGATGATGAGATAAAAATTCATTATTCACTCTATTTTCGGCCACCAAAATGAGTTTTTTGTTTCTAGGGGTTCCATGAAATGAGAGTACTAGCCTTATGGCTATTGTTTAGATCCTCGATGTTGTATGAAAAACCAAATTTGAGTTGAGAAATCCAAAATTAAATCAGTTTGATTTAGAATTTTTAAACTACTTTTTAGACATTTAAAGTTGATGAAATAGTTTAAGGGTGTTATAAAAGTGTTGATAAGGTATTTTTAAGTTGAAATTGTTTGAAAATTAGGGTTTTAGACCAAAACAATAGCTGAATGATTTTCCAGCCATCATTATGGTGATTAAAATCTGAATTTGCAGATAACATGTCATCAGTCTTGATAGACCGAGTTTTTTTATCAAAAAAATTGACATACTTCCCTTTAAAACATAAAAATAAGCCCAAATCCGCTCTAGAGCTCTTTATTTTGATGGCTTAAACACATAGGACAGAGGCCCATAAGTCTAGGTTCTTTTTTATTTTATTTTTACTTTGTATATAAATTTAAGAGGAAATACAATATTAAACCTAGTTGAGTTTATAATATGAATCATGGATTTAATGAAATGAACTTATTTACTTATATTGTTTTTTTAATGATATCTTATTTTGATATATTTTTTAAAAAATAATTTTTAAATTTATGTTTCAATTACTATTTCTCGTATCTATCCCTATTTAATCAATTATCTAAGCCTATTAAGACCTTAAGACCTTCACCTAGACATTATCTGCGTGTCAGATTCTAAATAATATGAAAGAAGCCTTAATTGATTCTAAGTGAGCACAAGCCATACAAGAAAAGATGGAAGCTTTGCAGAAAAATATAACACATGGAGGTTAATACAAAAACTTGAAAGGAAAAAAGATTGTGCAGTGCAAATAGATGCTTTCAATTAAATATAAAATTGATGGATTCATTGACCGATACAAAACAATGTTGATGGCAAAAAAATTTACATAAACATATAAACTCACAAGTTGATAAACTAAATATTGTTAGACTCGCAAAAAAATTTACATAAACATATAAACTTACAAGTTGATAAACTAAATATTGTTAAACTTTTACTATATTTTATAATAAATTTAGATTGTTCATCACTCTATCTCGATGTTCATGTGAGTTACTGAGTTACACTAAAATAAAAATACTAGTTATAGAATCAAATCCTTTTATTTAAGGGTCAACTGTTATACTAACTAAGAATAAATGTCTAAAATCTCCCATTATATCTATATATTCTATAATTTGATTCAAATGAAGTATGAAATTCTGATATGAAATTTTACTAAGTCTAACATGACGAGCAGTCATCTTGGCTACCATCAACTAGTAATGCTCCAAGTCACCCACATTAATCTAAAAAAAATATATATATATTGTTAGACTCTTACTATATTTTGTAATAAATTTAAATTGTTCATCACTCTAGCTCGATGTTTATGAGTTACTGAGTTATAATAAAATAAAAATACTAGTTATATGGATCAAATCCTTTTGTTTAAGTGTCAACTGTTATACTAACTAAGAATAAATCTCTAAAATCTCCCATTATACCTATATATTCTATAATTTGATTCAAATGAAATATGGAATTTTGATATGAAATTTTACTAAGTCTAACACGATGAGCAGTCATCTTGACTACCATCAACTAGTAATGCTCCAAATATTCCTCCAACACAATTATACTTTATTTTCACTTGGTCTAAATATTTAAATTTTAAATTCTTAGTAATTTACTAATGAGGTATTTATATGTCTAAAATCATATTTTTTGTATCCACAAGGTATTAAATCATCATAATTACTATAAATGTTTAGCAAGCCATCTTGGTTTTGTATTCTAAGTGGTTATTGTTAGCTTGATGATAATGGTTAAGTAAAGGAAACTATCATGGTGACAAAAGGGTGTGTTAAGTGTTACTAAAAATTTCTTTGACTAAATTAAACCTCGAACCTAACCAACACTTAAACAAAAAAAAATCCATAAAAATTTCACCAAATAAAAATTTTAATCCAAATATAGTAATAAAATCAAATGTTAGAAAAACTCCACGTACAATTTTCATAACATCAAATAATCTTAGTTTGAATAACAATATTTCAATGGGAAACTTTATCATTTTCATAAGGAAACTATCATGGTGACAAAAGGGTGTGTTAAGTGTTACTAAAAATTTCTTTGACTATATTAAACCTCGAACCTAACCAACAATTAAACAAAAAAAAATACATAAAAATTTCACCAAATAAATATTTTAATCCAAATATAATAATAAAATCAAATGTTAGAAAAACTCCACGTACAATTTTCATAACATCAAATAATCTTAGTTCGAATAACAATATTTCAATGGGAAACTTTATCTTTTTCATTCCTAAATTCTTAAATTATTACAATGCAATCATTCGATCTTGTGGATAAAATCTTGAGCTTGTACGCTATTGAATACTAATCCATAATTTATCAACCGTTGTCCAAAATAAGAGTTAAATTTTATAAAATTGCAAGGAAATCTGCCATTAATTAATTTTTCCTATCTTCTAAGGGGGAATTTAATCGCATTTAATTTTTGAATGATTTATTTGTTTAACCTGCATGGGCATTAATTTATTTATATATAAAAAAAAAACTAAAACATTGTAGCCCTTCTCTCATTTGCGTTGTGGACTAACTATCTATATGAAAAGTTGAGTCCTCAACTCAATATTTTCTCTTCTTCCCGTTGCAAGGTTTGTCTTCTCATGTATTTTATCCCATGTTCATTGTTCTTGGACACAAGTGTTGTGTTTATTTGTTGATAGCTTTGTTTCCTTTATTATGAGTTTGTGTTCTAGCCAATTTCCTTCTTATCTAGTTACCGGTTGCTATGATTGAAGCTTTGATTGTCAATTCTATAAGGTTTGATGGTCGGCCACATTCCTGGTCTTCTTTTTAATCAAGATGTTTCTTTAACTAAAATAAAAAAAAAATGTTAGGCTAATTGATTAATGTGGTGTAAGATATTTTTAAAAATAATTTTTAGTTAAAAATATATTAAATAATTTTTTTATTTTTAGAAATAGCACTCCAAACAATAAAAAAATTATAAAAAACTTTAATTTAATTTTTTTTAAAAAAAAAACCCTTTGAAACGGAGGTTTAAGCATTCTCTTTCTAACTCCATTAGAGCCCATATATATTATTCAGACCTAGTTTTGGCCCATTTGAGTCACTGTGTGGTAGCTGGCGAATTCATGGCTTGGCACGTGGTTCGATATCCAGCATCCAGCTTCGGGGGCTTTTATCAAAACAAAATTCTTCTTGAACTCGGATTAATGACGTATCCATGTTCAAACAAGAATGAAGAAGAAAAGGTAACCGCCTATTTTCAGACTTATTTTCTAGGATTAATAATTTTTCAATGTTCTTCAGCGATGTGAAAAAATTATTTCGGTTATAAATATCGACCAGATTTATCTGAAAAATATCTTGGAAGAGATTATTAGATATGTCTATATAATATATTTTTATTCACTTAAAAATGGACCATGATGATTATAATTATTCTATCCAACAAGAGATATGAATGATCAAATGCCTTGGTTACTCTATCAACTTACATGTTATTGTCTTATTGAATTAACTTTTAAGTTCAATTTTTTTTCATTTTTAAATAGAAAAATAAGAAAATTAATTTTAAAAAATGCTTAATAAATTATAAAGTTAATTGAATTAATAGTATTTCATAATAATTAATAATTATTAGACTCGATCTTAAAATTTAAATCATAACTTGATCAGATCAACTTAATTTATCTCAAACAATATTATTTTAAATATTAAAAAAATTATTTTAAAAATATTAAATTATTTTTTAAAATTAATTATTTAAATTTTACCAGAATTTAGCTGCATCTCAATTAAATTTAATTAAATTAACTAATTTTTTAATTAATTAATTAAATCATTTTAATTTGATAAAATTAACTTCTAAATGTATCAAAAACAAAACTAATGTAAGTTAAATATTGAGTAAGCAAATCAAGTTAACGCACACAAAGTTAAATTAGGTTTAATAATTATAATATTTTAATCAAATGAATAAATTATCCAATTTAACAATAAATCCAACCCCATCCAAAATTTCAAATTTATTAAATATAATAATAACAATCCATGGATACGGTTATTATTTGGACCTGAGCCTGCTCAAAACCAGGCCCATAAAATAACTCCTATAATTAATGCAAAACTATTTATATTATATATTATTTTGAAGCTCATGGAGCTCGGGACACCGCCATCACTAACTAGTGTAAAGAGACCAAATATAGAGACCAAGAATCAGAGAAAGAAACGGAAAGGCACACAAAAATAAAATAAAAATAATAGCCAAGTTTGATTATTCATCAGTTTCCTGAAACACGGCTTCTTTATTTGGAAAAGGATTCCAACAAGACCAAAATCAGAACTTTAGCGACCAAGAATTACTATTTCAATACCAAAAGAACAAGAACAAGAACAAGATAGGCAGTGCAAGAATCTCAGCCCCACACGGTGGAAGGGGTGCTCTTCCTTCTGATGGTGGTTGCCCTTCTGATCTCCTTTTCTTGGCTGGCGGTGGCAGCCGAAGTTTGACAGTTTCTGCGTTTTCTTTTTTTTTTTTTATACTAGTTGTTGTATAGAGATTTTGCAGGTTTTCTTTAGGAATATTTGTAGTTGATTAAAAGAGGATATATAATATAAAGATGATGCTGACGATAAAGAAGGTTCCTACTGTGGTTTCAAATTATCAGGAGGAGAATTCTGAAAAAGGGTTTGAAGGGTGTGGCAGGAATTGCCTTGGGAAGTGTTGCTTACCTGGTATGTAGGTTTTTTTTTCCCAGATTTTTTGTTTGATTAATCTTGGTTGGGGATTATTCTGTGTACGTAGAATAAAGAGACTTTTCAATTCTCATGACGTTGTTGTTGACATTGGTAATTTAGTGGCATGTAAAGCCTTGTTTGCTTGTGGAGAAAACATGGAGAACAGTGTTCATATGAGCGATTGATGATGGGTTGTTAGGCAGGGTGTGGATGAGTTTTCATTATGAAAATCTTGGCCTTTTTTATTTTTCCTGATTTTGATAGCAGGCAAGAGTTGAACTTTATGTGCAAAAACCTTCATACAGGAACTATGTCCCTGTTCCAAATAGTGGAAAAGTCTAGGAGGAAAAGAGAAGATGATTCTAGCAAAGTGTTGTGATTAAAAGTGTTATTAAAAGAAGGAAAGCAGCAAACTTGTTTGCTAATTCCTATAGAATTTAGAAACCATGAATGGCTTTGACAGGGAATGTGTAGAAAAAAGGGACAGTATTATGGATACGCTCTTGTTTTTCTCCACAAATTCTTCCAATGCTGATTTTTTTTTTTATTCAGTGTCTAAGCTGCCTCTGTATGCATTCAAGGAAGACAATTCGAATTTGATTGGAAATAGTGTTGAGAAATCATCAGAAGAACAGCCTCATATTTGTTTCCTGCACAACCTGTTGCTGGGACAATGGGAGGATCGAATGAGCCGTGGCCTTTTCCGCTATGATGTGACTGCTTGTGATACAAAGATCATTCCTGGTAGATATGGTTTCATTGCGCAACTGAACAAGGGCCGCCATCTGAAGAAGAGACCCACTGAGTTCAGGGTCGATAAGGTGCTTCAGGATTTTGATGAGACTAAGTTCAATTTCACCAAAGTAGGACAGGAAGAAGTGCTTTTCAGGTTTGAAAAAAGTATTGACCACAACAGACATTTTTTTCCTTGTGCGCCGCCTACAACAGCTGATTCCAACAACTCAAGTGTTGTTGCTATCAATGTAAGCAAATTGATCTTACTATTCTGACTCTCTTTTTCTCTTTTACTGTTTTCCACTTTTCATATTTCATAGGAATTTATGTTTTGCTCGTCTCATTTATTTGTGAAATGCTGATGATCAGGTGAGTCCAATTGAGTATGGACATGTTCTCTTGATACCCCAAGTTCTCAATTGCTTGCCTCAGAGGATTGATCATGGCAGCTTCTTACTTGCTCTTCATATGGCTAAAGAAGCAGCTGATCCTTTCTTTAGAGTGGGTTACAACAGTTTGGGTGCTTTCGCCACAATTAATCACCTACACTTCCAAGTAACTTTCTATATCCAATTGCTAACGTTTTTCTATTTATGCGCTATTAATTTATGGTTTAGGGATCATTTAAATTTTAATTACGAATAAATTTTCTAATTCTTGCAGGCATATTACTTAGCAGCACCCTTCCCTGTTGAGAAAGCTCCAACTAGAAGAATAATGATAATGAAGAGTCCGCAAGATAAAGGAGTAATCGTTTCGCAGCTCCTGAATTATCCAGTGCGAGGTCTTGTCTTTGAGGGTGGAAATACAGTTCAAGATCTATCTGATTCAGTAGCTAGTTCTTGCATTTTCCTCCAGAACAACAATATCCCTTTCAATGTGCTCATTGCTGATTGTGGAAGAAGAATTTTTCTCTTTACACAGGTAAATATTCCTCTTTCTATAACCACATGAATTAAAGTTTATTGTTGAAGTCCTTTAGGTACATGATTTTATGAAGTGGAGACAAGATTTGTAAGCTATTTGTAATTAGAACGGAATAAAGAGACAAATAATTTGTACGTCCATACTTTAGGATTTGTTGCTGTCAGGAAAGTTTGTGTCAACTAGAAATCTGAAACAACTATGACATTGACCTTGAATATAACAATATGTTTCTTGGAATGGTCAGAACTTGAATTTCCCAAGCAATTGTTGGCCAAGACATTCTGGCAATTAACCTGCAAAAATCGAATAATTTTAGAGTTTGATTTTCTGCCTATTGTCTGGGACATGCAACCTGAGGTTTTCTTCCACAAAATGATGCATTTAGATATAGGACATAGCTTGGAACGCTTTAAATCCTGGGGGGTGATTTGGATTTTACCTTTCCTTCATGCAACCTTCACCTCCCAGGAAAACGTACATTTTTCAAGTGGAAACTGCAGTTTTTACTGCCACCCTTTACTTAGTGTCTCGTGAGCTCCACCCCCTCCCCTTTTTTCTGGAAGATATCTGAAGTGCTGTTTCCTCCATCCTGATGAACTTTCAGTGCTATGCCGAGAAACAAGCACGCGGAGAAGCAAGCCAGGAGCTGTTGGACACTCAAGTTAATCCAGCCGTTTGGGAGATCAGCGGACATATAGTGCTGAAGAGACAGGAGGATTTTGACGATGCCTCAGAAACATATGCATGGAGACTTCTTGCTGAGGTTTCTCTATCAAACAAGAGATTCCATGAAGTAAAGGCTTATATATTGGAAGCAGCAGGCTTTCAGACAGATATAGAGGAAAATAACAGAGATCTTGAGCGAGAACCCATCTATGAGCAACGTTCCCCTGAAGCTTTAACACATTTACCTCAAGATTGCATGGTCTTTTATTGAAAGGCTATGTGTGGTTATTTACAAAACTATCATTTTGTAATAGTTCTCATACCCTATTTTAGCTGTCATTTATACCAGAACAACAGGTTCTTTCCATTCCCATACGCTTCGTTCTGGTTTCAATCCATTTAATTGATTTATTGGTTTAGGCTTTCAATTGAAGTTCTTGCGTTCCATTCATTGCTGAGTCTATCACGTTATTGTTGTAGAGGTGCAATGTGGCAGATCATTTTTACCTGGACAATCTGAGGAAGAGAATAGTTTCAGAAACCAAAAACCCATTTTTTTCAAGTAGCCTGAATAAAATTTCTACAGCTCACCAATGATTTGCCAACATGGACCACCATGGAAATTTTGAGTAGCTGATCCAAAGACCCCAGTGAATTCCCAGCAACGCAAAGATGTTCCCAGGAAAGGTCACCATCTGTTTTACAGTATTCTTACCACCAAGCATGTAAGAAAGGCTCATCTTTCTCCAACTGATTAGAGGTTCAACTTGCTAAAGAGAAAGGTAGTGTAATTACAGAAACTGATTTAACACGAGTCCAATTATTCAATCCAACAAATAAATGAATAGATTAGGTTAATGATGTAAGCTTTTGCGCAATCTATTAACACTTGAATACGAAAGGATCATATGGTGGAGGACAACATTAGCTTAGCCTATTAACACTTGAATACGGAAGGATCATATAGTGGAGGACAACATTAGCTTAGCTTCAGGTTTTAAAAGACTGTAGTTTATGATGCTCTGTTAAGATGGCGACCTCTGGTTGCTCAAAATAGCATTTCTACTGGTACAAGCTTCTAACAATTCCAGCGGTTGCCTATCCTAATTCTATTTTTGACCACCATTAGTGCTGGTGTAAGCTTCTAGGACTTCCAGGGGTTGCCTATCCTAATTGTTGACCTCCATTAGTAGTGGTGTGATCACACCCACATGGGATAGAGATTTCTTGGAGGGCTTGTCGAGATGAGAATCCTTAAAATAAAGTTCAATCAGTCTCTCAATTATACCCGTCCAGAAGTTTGCTGTAGGAACAAGTTATGGCTTGGATTCCCACCACCTACACCTCAATCCGAATAATAAAAAATAAAAGAAAGATCAGATCTGGCACGTAGGTCGTATACATGCCTCGTCCACCAATGAACGAAAAGGGAAATGGATAAAAGAAAGACGTCCATCTAGAAATATAACTCTTAATTACTTGTTGACTCACGGGTGGTGTACGGCGTTGCGGGTGGAACACGTGTTCCATAATTTTTTAAATATTTTTTATTGAAAATTATTTTTGTAATATTTTTAAATCATTTTCATAATATCCAAAATATATTTTAAAACAAAAAAAAATATTATTTAAAAAAACTTCTAAAAAAATATTTTAAAAAACAATTATTATTATACACTTAAATGCATATAATAAATAAAATTTATATGTAGTCGAGCATTTATTATCTACCTAAATTCAATATAAAAAAGATATAAAATAAAATAAAATTCTACTGAAAAGCACTACAAAAACCCTATTTATTGTCTTTAAAAACCCTATTCTATATTAACTTAATTCCATATATTGTGAATCCCAAATATAATCAATAGAATTTGATAGTTTTGGAAGTGTTTTTTAAAATAAAAAAATTATTTTTATTTTTTATTTTAAATTAATATATTTTTAATATTTTTAAATTATTTTAATATATATAAAATAATTTTTTTAAAAATTATTTTAATATATTTTTAAATAAAAACCCATCAACCATCAAAATTATTATAGAACTAGAAACATCGGAGGAGGAAAAAACGCGTGACTTGAAAAGGATGGAGCAACTAATTACCAAACCAATGCCGTGTTGAGCTCAGCATTGGAAAGGCAATTGGCACCACACACACACACACACACACACACACATATATATATATATTTTCGTGATCCCACATGATTCTTGTACTTGAATTCAACCATACACAAACAATGACCACACCATATACAACTCTAGTCTTAATATAATTTCTCCCAATTTCCACCAATCCCATCACAAGTTTCATGAAGAAACTACCTTCACCTTATGATAATCACGAATTCAAAATCAAACCCGCAATTTATGAAAGATTAATCAACAAATAATACCATAATTTCCTGGTAAATCTTATCTAATAAGAGAATTAATTCCATTATTGCTATGTGAATCCAAATTTATCGAACCATGGTAAATCTCATCTACTTGTTGGCATGAACTTAAGGCGTAAAGATGAGATATTTTTAATTAAATTATAAGGAATAGGATATAATTATAATTAATTTAAAAACAAAAGGCAAAAAGAAAGTCACAGATCACATAAGCACAAAAAAAAAATTAAGAATACGAAGAAAAACAAACAAGGTTCTTAATTATCTTGAATCATGTGTTATCATAATTTATTAAGAACAAAATAGCTAGAGATTTATCAACAATAATCCAAATTAAAAACTACTAAATTCCACCACTGTTTTTGCTGTTTTTACAGATTAAAGTTGCCTCAAACCCGCAAAAACATCAATGGAAAACTAAAACAAAAGGAAGATTAAAACCTTAAACTACTAATATATATATAATTACACCATTAATTGTCTAAAAAACCTACTCCTACAACGTTATACCAAACCTAAGAAATAAAATGAAAAACATTGTAGTAGTAATTAGTTAATTAATTAATCTACGCTAACCCTCTAGCCATCATCTTCTTAAACTCCTCAAAATTAACATTACCATCACCATCTTGATCAACTTCACGTATCATCTTACGACAATCACTCAAGCTACACTTCAACCCCAACATCTTCATCACCGAGTGCAACTCATCAACTGAAATCAGCCCATTCTTGTTTTTATCATACAAATCAAACGCATCCCTCAATTCTTTACTATCATTGCCGCCGCTATCGTCAATTCCACCATTCTGGATGAAGTCGACAAACTCATCAAGAGCAATATAGCCATCACCATCTTTGTCGAATTCTTGCATTATGGACTGGACTTCCGCTGGTGATATCTTGGTGCCCAGTTCTTTAAGGTTGTCTACAACCTCACTACAAGAAATCTTGCCATCTCCATTTTTGTCGAACTTGTCGAATATTTTTCTTATGTCGTCCATGGAACCGAAGGTCGTTGGGTTTTTTGATTTTGCCATTGTAGAATGAAAAGAAAAGACGAGGACTTTTGGTTTTGCTGCTGGAGGAGGAAATTAAAGAGTAGACTAGAAGGGCTTTTTCCTTCTTTCTGAGCGTATTTGTGGAGATCAAGGAGCGTTTTTATATAGGGTTATGTGGTGCTGGTTTAAACGCGGCCTCCACGCGTTTTTGTTTTTTATTTTCCTTTTCTTTCTTCTTTTTTTTTTGCAAGTGACCAAACATTTACTTTTGGGAGAGTGGTTTCGGCGCGGGTGGATATGGAAGGAGAGTGGTTAGGGGGTTTGACCTTTTGAAGGAGAGTTAATTCAATTTTCTAAAGTATTATTATGGTGAATTAAGTCTTGCATCTAGACAAATATGTTCATCAATTTTATATTGCGACACCCTTTAGCATCTTACGTTGCATGATTTACCAATAGAGTTAGGAAAGGTTAAAAAACAATTTGAGTTTTTCATCACTCTAATTATCCCTTAAAGAATCTCGCCCTCTCCCTTATAACCAAAAATAAAAGGAAAAAAAAAAAGAGGAAAAAATAATTAAAAATCCCATTAAACTATTGGTTAAAGTATAAGCAGTCTATGAACAAAACAAAAGGATGCAATTGATAGAAGGTATTTAAAAAAAGAAAGTATTTAAAAAAATCAAGTGGACTAGTTGATATAGAAGGTCTCGATTTGAATTCCAAATCTTTTCGTGTGCTACTTGCACTGGATTTTTTTGTTCAATGACTAATATAGTCAAGCACGAGGATGGCACGTGGATAAATATAATCCAAGTAGTGGTCTCAATTTCAATCCTCAATTTGTTAATTAAGGGACTAATTACACTAATACTTTTATTCGATGACTATTTATGCATTGACTAGAGGGGGATCGATAATATTTTAGATAATAATTTCATAATCAATTTGGAGATTATCTATGGGTATATGGGTAATTTGTTAACCCAATTGGTTGATTTGTTATTGAATCTTTTAGATATTTTGTTTTATAATGGATCTTTGAGATGATTATAATTAATAATGATGAACGCTCCATAGAAGGAAACTTCTTCTTGTTTGCTAATGATAGGGTCTCACGCGTGATGTAAGTTAATGGGAGTATATATATGATTATAGAAACCCTAATCAAGTTCTTAATTCGATTGGAAGAATAGCAATAATTAAAAGGATGCAAAGGTAATTAAGTTTATTCAGACCAGAGATTTTCGAGCCATTTTGAACATAATTTATTTTCATAATTCTTCGCTTTATCTTATACTGACTATATTAACCTTAAGAAATTGGTTTGAAAGCTAATAAAGTATATTTCTTTCTTTGATTTTATGGGTTTAAAATCTGGGATCAGAATTTATCAAATGCCTTTAAAATCATTTAAGAAAAGGATCTAGTCTAGAAATATCCTTTATCGTCGAATAAAAAATAAATCACTTTAATTAATCATTGTTAGGCACGTGACAATAATTTTGGATAATTAACAGATGATTATATATATGCCTGCGGAGCCAAATGCATTTCACAGGGAAGGGAAGGTCAAAATTAATACAGTAATATATATTATTAAAAAACTTATTTATTTAAATTAAAAAATCTTAAATAATAAAAAATCTTAAAAATTTTTGTAGGGACCCGGGCTCCTCCTTGCCCTCCCTGGTTCCGCCGCAATGGATGCTAAAATCTGTATTTAGTCTGTCGTAATTTATGATGCAACAAAAGATGGCATCATGATACCTTACTTCAAAGATTAAAAAGAAAAATATACATTTAGCCTCTTTGAAGGAAGCGCGTAGTTGCTAAAGCATACCATTCACTTGAAAGGAACATGTGTATTAACATATAATTCTTTCTCGGGGCATTATATCATTGGAGAAGTTGAGATTAAATCGTTCTTTCCTAATAGGTAAGGAAAAAAATAGACTATACACGAGAAAATTAAGAAATGTATTATAATTATTTTTTTCTATTTTAATCTGATGGAGGTGTGAATTTTAAAATTAAGATGCGAATGCATCTTTAATTATCAATTCATTTTTAAAAAAAAATAGCATTCAATTATTGTTTTGCAATAAAAAACAGTAAAGATAAAAACACAATTAAAAATATTTGAAAAACTACTATTTTGTTTTTATCTGTTCAATCAAATATAATAATATATTATAAAACATGGTATTAAAAATAAAATAAAAATTAATTTTAAATGATTTAATTTAATTAGTTATATTTTAAATTTATTTTTAAAAAAATTACTCGTTCAAATCTTATAAATTTTAATATTATTAAAAATTTATATTTATATAATTTTTAATTTTAAAACCTCTAAAATTAATTAAAATATGTATAAACTAATTAGATTTTTGTAATAGTAGTAATAATAATAATAATAATAATATAAAAAAAGGCACCCTCATTACAACATTTAGGTCATTGAAGTTATTTTTTGCAGTCAAAAGGCAAATGGATTTATTCTGTTAAGTCGTCCTCGTCTCTTGGGTTAAATTCCGGTGCCCAAATTCTTTCCTTTCGTCCCCAAAGGATAAATTTCTTATAATTGGCCAAGATTGGGGTTTTATCATAATTTAATTTCTTGTAATAATAATAGTAAATGGCTAGAAATCGAGTTAGTGCATCATAATCAAATTTGGCAACTAGCCTTTATTTTGCCATTTATGACTACGAATTAATAATACATGCTAAAAAGGACTATATATTAAGAACGACGTCTTAGAAGGGGTGAAACGACTTCCAATAAATTGAGAGTGTGCTAGTATAATAATGAAGGAATACTTGCTCAACGCATGCGTGCTCCTATTTGCTTATACGACTTTAGAAGCGTGTAATCAAAATCTCGAAGCAAAGAAACGGCTGAAAAGGATACCTTAGGTGGAAAGAATGTGTGGGGCATTATTCAACACTTTGCTAGGAATTATAATTTTTTAAAAGTATTTTTTATTTGAGAATATATTAAAATGTTGTTTTTTATTTATTTAAAATTATTTTTAATATCAATATATTAAAATAATGTAAAAACATTAAAAAAATTAATTCAATATAAAAACAAATGGTGCCGAAGTTTTTTTTTTTTTTAATTGCCAATATGTTGAGGAGTTTTGGTAGTTATGACCGTTTGAATCAAGCATTCAAACCCAGCAAAAAGATGGATTCTTGCATTCTAGAAGAAGAAAAGTCTGGTCTAAAGTATACCCATGTGGATGCTTTGCTTAACAAATCCAATGGAATGTTATTATTCGTTGTTTCATGATAGTTTATGTCTTTGTGAGATAGGTGGTCAGAACAGTTCATTTGAGTTCAATTCTAGATAACTAGAAATAAAATATAATTTACACATTGAAACATAGAAAATGAGTTGAGTTGATGGGCATTAATTAATACAAATTCATGCTTTTTGTTCAATTTTCTCCGTTATTGTCAATAATACTTATTAGTCTTAATAAAATTTGGAGGTTTGGTTTAAGTGGTAAGTCGGTTTATTTCCTACATTAATATCATTTGGAGTATACATCTAAAGAAGTTGTGATAAAAAAAAAAATCTAGTGAATGCATACCAAACTAAATGTTGGGTAGGTAAATGTTTGATAGAAAAAGTAGTTATATAAATCCTATAGATGTTTGGACATTATTTGTATCAATAAGTTGTTCAATCATGATATCTTATTAATAACATATAATCCCAAAAACTTCAAGAAAAACAGAAAGCATTAAAATAAATTTTAATTTTTTTGTTTTTTTAATTAATTGAATTCTCTTTTTTTATTGAATATAAATGAACTTCCAACTTTTTTTTATAAAAAAGGAATGACTTTCAAT